AGATTAGGTGTGTATGTCCTGTTTAAATTTATATTAAAATTTTTAAGTTGTGGTGTCTTGTTTATTTTTTTTTGGTGGTGAAGATATGTTTAGAGCTATGTTTTTTATAGATGTTGGTGGAAATGTCGTGGGATTTTTTTGTGTCTTTTTTTGCGCGAATGTTAAAAAATAAGTGTTTTCACGATCTAGAGTTTTGAAAGAAGACTTAGATTTTTTGGGGATTCGTGAAGAGTGTTGATAATGATGGTAAACATGATATGGAAATTGGGGATCGTGATTTTTGTGTGAATGTTTTAAAAAAAAAAAATGAGTGATTTCTGTGATCAGATGGTGGGGTCAAAAATCTGGTAATCGTCTTTGGGTTTTGGGGTTCTTAGTATTTTGGGTACAACAGGTTGAAAAAAAGGGGGGTTTGGGGGGACTGACCACCAAAAACACAGATGGGGGTTGACGTCACTGGAGTACCTCGCCGGTCCTGTGGGGGGTGACATCGTGTTTGGGGTAGTGAGGGGATGCGCTTGATATTGTCAAAATGAATTTTGTGTGAATGTTTATAAGAAAAGAGTGTTTTTGTGGATTTGTGGTTTTTTTAGGTAAGTGAATAGGGGGTTTTTTTAAAGGTGGGTTTTCTTTAAATTTTTGTGGGGAAAAAATTGTTTTTTAGTTGATGGGGATCAGTACTAGGTGTGACAATGGTTTTTAAAAACCGACAAGTTTAAGATTTAGACACTTTTGCAGCATATGGGAATCTTTATTCAGGAAACGTTTCGCCACACAGTGGCTTCATCAGTCCAATACAAAGAGGAAGGCGTAAGGAGAGGAGGAGAATGAGGTAATCAGTCCCTCAACCTGGAGTCGATGTGTTCAGTCCATCAATCTTGTAGAAAGTACAGCATAGGGCCGTAGACGTGGCTTATATACTGTAGTGAGGTGACGTGAAGCAGATGGAGGCGGGGTCATAGTGGTACCATCCACTAGTCGATGTAGGTCTTCGTCCAAAGGTTGAACAAGTGTTGAAGAATTCTTTGTAACAAGATCCCATGATGCTGCAGTGTCTGACAGTTGTGACGAATGGTTTGAAAAACCGACAAGTTGAAGATTGAGACACTTATGCAGCATATGGGAATCTTTATTCAGGAAACGTTTCGCCACACAGTGGCTTCATCAGTCCAATACAAAGAGGAAGGCGTAAGGAGAGGAGGAGAATGAGGTAATCAGTCCCTCACCTGGAGTCGATGTGTTCAGTCCATCAATCTTGTAGAAAGTACAGCATAGGGCCGTAGACGTGGCTTATATACTGTAGTGAGGTGACGTGAAGCAGATGGAGGCGGGGTCATAGTGGTACCATCCACTAGTCGATGTAGGTCTTCGTCCAAAGGTTGAACAAGTGTTGAAGAATTCTTTGTAACAAGATCCCATGATGCTGCAGTGTCTGACAGTTGTGACGAATGGTTTGAAAAACCGACAAGTTGAAGATTGAGACACTTATGCAGCATATGGGAATCTTTATTCAGGAAACGTTTCGCCACACAGTGGCTTCATCAGTCCAATACAAAGAGGAAGGCGTAAGGAGAGGAGGAGAATGAGGTAATCAGTCCCTCAACCTGGAGTCGATGTGTTCAGTCCATCAATCTTGTAGAAAGTACAGCATAGGGCCGTAGACGTGGCTTATATACTGTAGTGAGGTGACGTGAAGCAGATGGAGGCGGGGTCATAGTGGTACCATCCACTAGTCGAAGTAGGTCTTCGTCCAAAGGTTGAACAAGTGTTGAAGAATTCTTTGTAACAAGATCCCATGATGCTGCAGTGTCTGACAGTTGTGACGAATGGTTTGAAAAACCGACAAGTTGAAGATTGAGACACTTATGCAGCATATGGGAATCTTTATTCAGGAAACGTTTCGCCACACAGTGGCTTTATCAGTCCAATACAAAGAGGAAGGCGTAAGGAGAGGAGGAGAATGAGGTAATCAGTCCCTCAACCTGGAGTCGATGTGTTCAGTCCATCAATCTTGTAGAAAGTACAGCATAGGGCCGTAGACGTGGCTTATATACTGTAGTGAGGTGACGTGAAGCAGATGGACGAAGACCTACATCGACTAGTGGATGGTACCACTATGACCCCGCCTCCATCTGACTTCACGTCACCTCACTACAGTATATAAGCCACGTCTACGGCCCTATGCTGTACTTTCTACAAGATGATGGACGACACATCGACTCCAGGTTGAGTGGACTGATTACCTCATTCTCCTCCTTCATCTTACGTCCTTCCTCTTGTATTGGACTGATGAAGCCACTGTTGGGAATCGTTTCCTGAATAAAGATTTCCCATATGCTGCATAAAGTGCTCATCTTCAACTTGTCGGTTTTTCAAACATTCGTCACAACTGTCAGACACTGCAGCATCATGGATCTTTTTTACAAATAATTCTTCAACTTGTTCAACCTTTGGACGAAGACCTACATCGATAGTGGATGGTACCACTATGACCCCGCCTCCATCTGCTTCACGTCACCTCACTACAGTATATAATCCAGTTCTACGGTCTATGCTGTACTTTCTACAAGATTGATGGACCTGAACACATCGACTCAGGGTTGAGGGACTGATTACCTCATTCTCCTCTTCCTTACGCCTTCCTCTTTGTATTGGACTGATGAAGGCCTGTTGTGGCGAAAGTTTTCCTGAATAAAGTTTCCAAGCTGCATAAGTGTCTCAACTTCAACTTGGTCGTTTTTTCAAACCATTCGTCAAATCTGTCAGACACTGCAGGGTCATGGATCTTGTTCAAGAATTCTTCAACATTGTTCAACCTTTGGACGAAGACCTACTTCGTACTAGTGGATGGTACCACTATGACCCCGCCTCCATCTGCTTCACGTCACCTCACTACAGTATATAAGCCACGTCTACGGCCCTATGCTGTACTTTCTACAAGATTGATGGACTGAACACATCGACTCCAGGTTGAGGGACTGATTACCTCATTCTGCTCCTCTCCTTACGCCTTCCTCTTTGTATTGGACTGATGAAGCCACTGTGTGGCGAAACGTTTCCTGAATAAAGATTCCCATATGCTGCATAAGTGTCTCAATCTTCAACATGTACTAGGTGTTTGTGTATTAGGTTTGTGTTCATGCTTTTTTTTTTATGCGCCCATGAGGAGGGAGTTCTTGGTTATAGTGATTTGAGGGGATTTCTATAAAAAGGGTGTTAGATGGTGATGTTAAACTTAGTTTCTGCTGATTTTGACGGTGTTTTGGGAGTATTCAGTGGTGATTTGGTAGTAATCAGTAGTGTTTTGGGAGTATTCGGAGGTGTTTTTGAAGGTGTTCAAATGACGTGCAGAGTATTTTTTGAAGATGTTCAGTGGTGTTTTGGTGATCAGAGTTGGTTTCAAAGTAGTCAGTGTGTTAGTTTGTAAGTTCTTTATGTTATG